GAACTGAAAGAGTGAACACCCCCACCTCCTCAACCTCCTCCCCCTCCCCCTCAGAGCCTGGGCCCCACCGGGCGCCCCAACCCTGGTGGGAATGGTGTGGTGGAGGTGTACAGTGCCAACCCGCCCCTGGCTGGAAGTGGAACAGTGGAGATCCAGGCACTGGGGATGCAGCCCTACCAGCCCCTGGAGGTGAGTGACAGGGGTGTGCCAGGTGTTGCGCTAGGGATACCATGGGGAACAAAACCAGATGCACCCCAAGACCTTGTGGAGTGTGTTGCATCATGGGAAAAAAGGGCCGTAGTCAAAGCATCACAACTACAGATGTGCAGTGCACACCACAGGAAGGGAGGATGAAGGGGAGGCTGTAGCAGAAATACAAGCTACCCTCAGGGAATGCCTGCTTTGGAGAGAGGATTCCTCAAGATTATGTCTCTGATGTCCATTATCAGCTAGCTATTGCTGTGTAATAATTGTCCACAAGACCTCAGCGGTGTGTAACAAAGAGCTTATTGTTCACATGCTTGTGGTAGCTGGCAAGGTACCACTGCTGATCTTGGCCAGGGGGTCCTCTGTGTCTGGAGGTTGGCTGGCTGGCAGCTGCTGTAAGGTGCTTGAAGCCCCTGGAAGCTTGTAACTGGTGCAGTGTCACTTTTATTGAACCAAGCAGGTCACAGGGTCAGCCTACATTGGGGGTAGGGAGTAGGTGCCACTCTTTTTTTGTTTCCTTGTTTTGCAGTGCTGGCGATCAAAGCCAGGACCTTGAGTTTCAATCTCTCTGTCTCAGTTTCCATACCTGTAAAATGGGTCTAGGCAAGTGCTCTACCACCGAGCCACTGACTTTTCATGATGGGAAGAGCTATACAGTCAGACTGCAGTGCTGTACAGATGGGAAGGGTGTGGAATTGGGGCTGTTCCCCAAGCAACGCACTGCACTATCCCCTGCTCACAAGCTGAGCCACAGCCATTCTGCTCTGAGTGTGTGGAGTTTGTGGAACCTTCCACACCCCAGTGTTGATGGTTATGACAGATGTGGCATGCCTGCACGTGAGGTCACAGGGACCCAGACTCACCCTAGAACCCAGGCACACAGGCACTCACGTCAGGTGCGTCTGTACGCGAACCTCCTGCCACCAGGCGTGTGACAGTGTGACGGTCTGCAAGGGGATCTGCATCAGCCTGGAAGACTAGAGCAAGCCTCCCTGAGAACACCCACAAAAGAAGTAAACCTGTAGTGTGCTGAGAGCATGGTGGTGGCCAAGGAGAGGGAGAGACCAGCGGAGGGGAGCCGCCACTGTCTGTTTTTCATGTGGATAAGGGTGCTCTTAGAGGGCAGAGCTGGGGTGCATTTGGTGTTGTATTCTTTGCACCTTGCCAAGTGCCCAGACGGTGGCCCACCTCTAGTCCAGCTCTAGGAGGTATCTTTTTTGTTTGTTTGTTTTTGCTTTTTTGAGACCAGGTTTCCCTGTGTAGTTCAAGCTGGCCTTAGACTCACTCTGTAGCTCAGGGTAACTTCAAACTTGTGGAGATGCTCCTGCCTCAACCTCCCGAGTACTGGAGTTACAGGTATGTGCCACTGTGCCTACACTCAGCAATAGGTATCAGTTTCTTCTATAAAGTGGGAACTCAGGGAACTCAGGTTACAGGGAGTAACCCCAGCCCTCTGGGAGGCTGAGGCAGGAGAATTGGAAGTATAAGCCCAGCATGGGCTGGGGGTATTGCTCAGGAATGCCTGGAATAATGGCTGAATTCATTCATCAAATATTTCTTTTTTAAAATTAATTTTATTGTTCACTTTTGATATATGTAATGATCACATGCATCATAGGGAATTTGTACCTGTACATGATATATCTTGATTCTTTTTTCCCAATCCTCTCCTTATTTACAAAAGCTTTGTTTCCATTTTTTTCCTTTGACTCTCTTTTTTTTTCTTTTCCCTTTCCCTTCCCTGTCCCCCTTCATTGTCCCTCTTCCCATTTGAACATGTTCTTCCCATTTCCCAATATCTATCCTCCATTTTGCTCCTTGTTTACCCTTTAGGTTTCTCACACAAGAGAAACAGTGCAATATTTAAACTTGTGTGTTTGATTTATTTCACTTAAAAGTATGGTCACAAGCTGCATCCATTTACCTAAAAGTGTCTCAAGTTTATCCTTCTTTATGGCAGAGGAATACTGCATTATATATAAAATCCACATTTTCTTTTTCCATTCGTCTGTTGACAGGCATATAGGCTGTTTTGAAGATTTATCTATTATATATTACGCTGCTATAAGCATTGGTGTGTATATATCACTGTTGTATGATGTTTTTAATCCTTTCTGGAAAATACCAAGAAGGGGAACAGCTGGGTCAGATGGAACCTCTAGTTTTAGTTTTTTGAGGACTCTCCATACTAATTTCCAAATTGGTTGCACCAGTCTACACCCCCAGCAACAGTGGAGAAGGGCTCCTTTTCCCCACAGCCTTACCAGCATTAGTTATTGGCTGATTTCTTGACAATAGCAGTTTTTTAGTGTTTTAATTTGCATTTCTCTAATGACCAGTAATACTGAACATTTTTTCATACATTTATTTGGTGTTTGTACTTTTTCATCTGAGAAGTGTCTGTTCATTTCAGATGCCCATTTTTGGATTGGGTCTTTAAATTTGGGGGAAGGTCTGATTCTTTTCTGAGTTCTTTATGTTCTAGATGTTAGTTTTTTGCATGAGGAATAGCTGGTAAATTTTTTTCCCCCATTCTGTGTGTTGTTTCTTCATTCTGTTGGAGGTTTCTCTGTTTGTTTGTCTTTTGAGACAGGGTCTTGATTTGTATTTTGGGCTGGTCCTGAACTCTTTATTTAGTTCAGGCTGGTCTCAAACTGATACCAATCCTCCTGCCTCAGCCTCCTGAGTGCTGGGATTATAGGTGTGTGCCGCTATACCTGGCCTATTGGTGTTTTCTTTTTCTGTGCAATGTGACAATTTCTTGAGTATTGTATTGGTGAGGGATTGAGCAGGAAAACAAACCATACTAGGTATTTTTTTCCTTTTTCTTTTTTTTTTTTTTTTTGGTTTTTTGAGACAGGGTTTCCCTATGCAGTTCAGGCTGGCCTTGAACTCACTATGTAGCCCAGGCTGTCCTCAAACTGGCAACACTCTTTCTGCCTCAGCCTCTCAAATGCTGGTACTACAGGTGTGCAAGTTAGGTATTTCTGTTGTTTTTTCTCTCTCTTCCTTTTCTTTTTTTTTAAACCGGGAATCAAACTTGGGACCTTGAGCTTGTCAGGCAGGCACCATGCCGCTGAGCTCTATCCCTGGCCTGCTAGGTATTTCTGGTGGGGATTTAGTACACGAAGCTGGGTGCATATGAAGCCAATGGAAGGGCGAGGGATAAAAGCTAGAATTTGTGGGTGGCCCTGGTTTTCAGGTTCACTGTTGTGGCTTAGCCCAGAGGTGATGGCAGGGACAGCAGTGGCTCCTGGAGCTGCCCTGCAGCCCCCACAACTGGCGCCCCCAACTGGCAGCCAGGAGGGGCGGTAGAGCCCAGCTACCCCTCCAAGCTTGCCTCGCACACCGCCTGTCTCCACCACAGCTGGAGGAGGCCTCTATTCCCTTCTGCATCTTCGCCTCATGCAGCAGCTTTCCCAGGCAGAGCCTGTCGTGGTCAGACCATGTAGACGAGGGAATACGTTGCAAGCTTCCCAGCCCTGCGTTTCGGGGCGAGTGTGAAAGGGTGCGGGAGTGGTGCCTGGAGCCAGCAGCAAGCTCCGATAGAAGCGCCTACGGGTCCTGTGTCCGGGCTGGCTGAACGCTTCTGTGAATTCATTCATTCAGCAAGTGTTGTTTTGATTTTGTCTTTTTGAGACAGGTCTGGCTATGCAGTTCAGGCTGACGTTGAGCTCACTTTGCAGCCCGGGCTGGTCTCGAACTTGCAACCATCCTCCTAGGGCTGGGGATATAGCTCAGTGGCACAAATGCCTGCCCTGCAAGCGCAAGGTCCTGAGTTCAATCCCCGGTACTCCAAAAAACCCAAAAAACAGAAAACAAAATGATCCTCCTGCCTCAGCCTCCCAAGTGCTGGGATTACAGGGGTGCACCGCAGCTATTCAGCACGTTTACCGAGTGCCACTGCACCCAGCATTGCTGTAAGCCTGGGGATAGAGTAGTGAGCAGAAGCAGATAAAAGCCCTTGCCCTTGTGGAACTAAGCAGATAACAGACGAGATAAATGGGTGAGGGGTGTTGTTCTAGATAAGGACAAGCAGAGGCAGAAGGACCGGAAGTGGAATTTTGGACGGGATGGCCCAGAAAGCCCAACGAATGAGCAGTACCTGAGCTCTGCACACAGCGCCCCTGCCCGGCTCTGAGCTGGAAAGGCTCGGAACTCTGTGCTGCTGCAGGGTCCGGCGGTGGCAGTGAGGGGCAGAAATGGAGGCCCAGGTTGTGCTGGGAAACCGCTGCCGACGGCAGTGTGAGCGGCGCGGAGAGCAGGTGTTTACTGAGAGTGAAGGCCGCCCGCTGCGCTAAGCTCTGAGCACGGCACTTCACTGAGCCCCCAACAGCCCCTTCCAACAAGAGGAAGCCTGTGATTGACCCCATTTTACAGGTGTGGAAACTGAAAGGGAAATGGAGACCCAAGGCTGCCGGGGGGCGTTTGGACGCAGGCAGCTGGTTTCATGCTGTTCAGAGGGGGCACGACCACGGCTGGGGTGACTGAGCCAGGGCAGGGGTTGGATGGGGACACAGCGGCGGTGGCTGCAGCCGCTCCCCTTCCTGCCCGGCCTCTCTCCCTCACAGTGCTGTCCTTCCAGGTGCCCAGCCCGTGTGTGGGGGCTCCAGTGTACCCCACGGCCCCCGTGTACAGCCCTGGCAAGCAGGGGTTCAAACCGAAAGGACCAAACCCGGCCGCCCCTCTCGCCAGTGCCACTGCGGGCACAGCGGCCACCTTTGAGCCCCCGCCGACGCTGAAGACCCGACGGGCTAAAGGTGCCGGTGGACTCCCGGAAGGTGGGTCCCCGCCGTGTCTGGGGCTTTCTTCAATGTGCCTCTCCCCACCTGGGCGTGGCTGTGGACTTCCTGGGTGTGAGCCGTGGCCGTAGGTGCAGCGGGTACGACGGCTGGCACCTTTCCTTGGCATTGGCCCAGCCAGAGGCTGCTTGGCTCCACTTCTCCCTTTTATGGTAGTTAGAGTTCAATTAGATTGCATGTAGTGGGAAATCTAAAATAGTAGTTATTTCAAAATGATAAAATGTTGTTTCTCTCCTTCCTAGAACAGGCAGCCTGGGAATCGTGTGACATGTTCCCTAGGCACCCATGTTTCTCCTGTCTTTCTGTTCCTCTAGTCCCAGAGCACAGCTGGGACTTCATTTATCAGGGTGCCTCTTCATCTAGGATAGCTGCCAGAGCTCCAGTCATCAGTTTCATGTTCCAGGCAGTAAAAAGAAGGAAGAAAGGAAGGGTAAAGAGGGTACCTTCCTCCTCTGGAATTTCTGAGACTTTCGCTTACTTCTCATTGGTGGGAACTTAGCCAGGTCAGGAAGCTGGGAAATGTCTGTTTTTCCAGAAATATTGACATTCCCACTAAAGGAAGGCGAGTGGGCATCCGTCAGGCAGTGGCTGCCACCCTTTTGGAACTGCGGAGCATGGGGCGGGGGGTGAATGGAGAGAAGTCTGGTTGAGAATGTTTCAGGGACTTTGTAGTAAACCACTTCCTCTTTCCCTTCCTTCCACATGGATGAGGGGCTGTCTCTGTGCCCGGCACTGAGGGCCTCATGTCTTGGTCTTCTGCCCTCAGTTACAGTCTAATGGCAGAGGCAGAGTTGCTGCAGGAAAGAGGTTGGCAGGGTGCTGGGACTGAGAGGCTGGAAGGCGCTGCTGCCTGTCCACGTGGTGAGAAGGAAGCAGCCTTGTGGGCATCTGCGGGACCAGCACTCCACGCAAGGGGGGCCAGCGGTGCAAAGGCCCTGTGGTGGGCCCATGCCTGAGCTCTAACAGTGTTAGCGAGGAGCCTGCCACAGCCGGATGGAGGGAGCGATGAGGCTGGCAGGGGTCAGAGGACTCAGAGTGAGACAGGAGTGCATCCTGGGGTGAGGGGCGGTCTCGAGGGACCCAGGCCGCTTTCCCAGCCTTCACATGTCCTAGGCTCCCCTCCCTGGCCCTGTGAGGACCTCAGGGGCGGCTCTTCCTCTGTGTGTGTAGCCGTGGACTCTAGAGTGTGGGTCAGGGTGCCGTGGCTGGAGGGAGCTCTCACCGTCCCCTCCCACTTTGCCTCTCAGCTGCAGGGAAGCCCAAAGCGCAGAAGCTCAAGTGCTCCTACTGTGACAAGTCCTTCACGAAGAACTTCGACCTGCAGCAGCACATCCGGAGGTACCGTGGGACGTGGGCCTGGGGGCAGGAGGTTGTCCCTGTGTGGCAGCCAAGCCCCTGCTGTCCTTTCAGCGAGTTCAGTCTTGGTCAGGATGATTTTCCCGCTCGGTTTTCAGGGCCAAGGGAAGGGGCCTGCGCACCATGATTCACTGTGTGTGGGAGGACCTGACCAAGAGGAGCTTTACAGACAGGTGGGGCTGCCAGGCCCGGGCGCCACGCTCTGCCTGGGCAGCTCTAGGATCTCCTGGCTCAGTCGGTATGAGCCGTGACACCTCCTGTCCCAGGAATGGCCGAGGAGGCTGGGTGTGGTAGCCCACATCTGAAATCACAGCACATGGGAGGCTGAGGCAGGAGGATCACTGTGAGTTTGAGGCCAGCCTGGGGCACATAAGTGAGTTCAAGGCCAGCCTGAACTGCATAGTGAGACCCTGTCTCATAAACAAAACAAACAAACAAACAAGGAATAGAAAGGAGCTGTCTGGGCCTTGGCTCTTTCCTCTGGGAAGTGGAGGTTGTCCTCAGGGTTCCTCACAGAGCAGGATGCCTTCGTACAGGAGCTGACTGAGGATGATACATTGAAAATGGCATTGTGGGCCCGGGATGAGCTCAGCAGGGTAGTGCCTTTCTGGCAAGCGTGAGGTCCTGAGTTCGATTCCTGGTACCCACCCCCCAAAATGACATTGAAAAATTTGAAAAGACATAGTGAGCAGATTATTCCCTTTGTAATTGCAGTTTATAGAGAATCAGTGGAAAATGTCTCAATCTGGTATGAGTCTGTCCTTTTTTTTTTTTTTTTTGTGGTGGCACCAGGAACTGAAAACCTAGGGCATTTACACTGAGCTACATTCCCACCCCTTTATTTTTTGAGACAGAGTCTTATTAAGTTGCTAAGTGGGCCAGGGATGAAGCTCAGCGGCACAACACCTGCCTGGCAAGCTTGAGGTCCTGAGTTTGATTCCTGGTACCAAAAAAAGAAAAAAAAGAACAGCCTTTTCTCTGACCAATTTTCTAAAGTCAAGTTAGGCCACCCAAGTTGGAAGGAGATTATCTGTTATCACCACCAAAACACACACACAAAAACGTATGCTTCTCATTAAGTTACTAAGTGTCCTAGACCGGGCTCAAACTCTTGATCTTCCTGCCTCAGCCTCCCAGATTGCTGAGATTACAGGTGTGCACCCCTGTACCTGACTTCTTATCTCTTGAGAAAGCAGGAGAGAGAAGGAGGAAAGAAGGGAGGAAGGGAGAGAAGAAAGGAGAGAGACAGAGAGGGAGAATGAAGATGAGTGAGTGTGTGTGTGTGTGTGTGTGTGCGCGCGCACATGCGCGTGTGGGTGTGGGTGTGATTCCATCCCTGTCTTACGAGACCAGGGCTTTCCAGGCTCTTGCTGGTGACATTCCAGCCTCTGGTCACCTTGTTCTGCCCTGTGGGGGGCTGACTGTGCTTTGTAGAATGTTTATGTCAGCACAGCCCGGACTCCTAACCAATAGATACCATAACACCCTACCCTACGGCTGTCACAGCTGAAACTGTCTCCAGCTGTTGCCAGGTGTCCCCTGTAGGGCAAAGGTAAACTCAGTGGAGAGGCCCTGCCCTCCATCAGTGCTGGCCAGGAATTCTGAGCAGTGAGGGAGGTGCTCAAAATGGCGCTGCCACTTGGCGGCAGTTGCTAACGTATACGGCTAGCTGTTGAGCACTTGGAATGTGGCTACTATAGCGGAGAAACTAGATTTCTAATTAAGTTTGATTTTAGTAAAAAAAAAATTTTTTTTGAGACAGGGTCTTGCTATGCAGTTCAGGCTGGCCTTGAACTCCCTATTTAGCCCAGGTTGGCCTTGAACTCAAGGCAGTCCTTCTGCCTCAGCCTCCTGAGTGCTGATATTACAGATGTGCACCACCATGCCCAACAATTTTAATGAATTTAAGTTTAAATACTTCTATGTGGCAGGTACCTACCTCACTGAACAGTGAAGCTATGGGTCTTAATAACATTGTTTTGTAAATGAATTTTTTGTTTACTTAGTACTTATGACAAGTGACTTTCCATATCTAATAATGATAGGAAGCTTCATTTCTTTTTTTTTTTTTTTTTTTTTTCATCAATCAACCTTTAATGTCCAAAAGAGGCATGGATGCAGAACATAGGAGATGTGGCAGGGTCTCAGGCCCTGCTCCAGAAATGAGGGAGATGAACACAAACCAGACACTTTCAACTGGCCACACAAAGTCTGGATGGGCAGGGGGCAACACAGATTTGGACATTCATAAAAAATAAAACCTAAAATCAAACAATCTTGTACCCACTGAAGGGCATCGTACAGAGAACTCAGTCACCACCCCAGTTTCTACCCTAGCTTCATTTCAAAATTCTTTTAAATTTTAAAAAAGTGAGTTGAAGCCAGGCATAGTGGCACCCACCTATAATCCCAGTACTTTAGTACGCTAAGGCAGGGAGATACAAATCTGAACCCAGCCTGGAAAATTTAGCAATTTAGTGAGACCCATCTCAAAATAAAAAATAGAAAGAGGTAGAGGTAGCTGGATGTGGTAGCCCATACCTGTAATCCTAGCACTTGAGAGGCTGAGGCAGGAGGGTTGCTGTGATCCTAGACTACATAGTGAGTTCAAGGCCAGCCTGAGTTACAGAGTGAGGCCCTGGGTTTAGAAAAAAGAAAAAAAAAAGTGAGTTGGAGCCAGTCCGGGGTGATACTTAGGAGGCTGAGGCCAAAGGATTGCAAATTTGAGGGTAGCCTGGGCAACTTGGACCAGCCTGGGCAACTTTTTTTGTCTAAAAAAAATTAAAGAAAAATATAAGGTGGAATGGGCTAGGGATTTAGCTCAGCGGCACAGCGCCTGCCTGGCAAGCACAAGGTTGTGAGTTCAATTCCTGGTACTGGAAAAAAAAAAAAAACACCAAAAAAAATTTATGTAGGGGGCTGGGGATTGAGCTCAGCGGCACAGCGCCTGCCTGGCAAGAGCAAGGTGGTGAGTTCGATTCCCGGTACCAGAAAAAAACAAAAAATAAAATAAAATAAAATAAGGTGGTACAAGTTCTGTGCTGCGGCAGGTAGGGTGTTGAAGCCCCCACTGCAGTGGGCTCGCAGTGGTGAGGACAGCGTGGACTTCACAGAGGAGATCGGCTCCAGGGCTGGTTGGTTCAGCTCAGGGAAGTGCCTGCCTGTTTCAGCCAGGGGATGTGTCCGTGCAGGGTCAGCCGCAGCGCCTGGCTGTCCCCTCTGGGTGTGCTGGTGCAGGAGCTCCCGCATGAGCCTGCTGACCGGCCTTGTCGCCTGCAGCCACACCGGTGAGAAGCCTTTCCAGTGCATCGCGTGCGGCCGCGCCTTCGCGCAGAAGTCCAACGTCAAGAAGCACATGCAGACCCACAAGGTGTGGCCTCCGGGGCGCAGTGGTGGCACTGTTTCTCGAAACTCTGTGACCGTCCAGGTCATGGCCTTGAACCCCAGCAGGCAAGAGGATGAGGAAAACACAGGTGGGTAGGAGCAGGGAAAGCCGCTGCCCCCACCCTCTCCCCTGCAGCTTCACAGGTGCTGTGGCTGGCTGTGTGATCTCAGGCGCCTCCTTGACCTGTCTGGGCTAAAGTCTACTTTATCTTAAAAATGGGACATAGGATGAAAGGAAGGCTAATAAATGTATATGGCATTACATTAGTATGTACCCGTAGCAGACATCACTAGTTAATTACCTAACTTTTTGTGTGTGTGCAGTACAGGGATTTGACCCAGGGCCTTCACACTGAGCTAGATTCCCAGCTCTTTTTTATTTTTTATCTTGAGACAGAGTCTTACAAAGTCATTAAGGTGTTCACTTTGGGCTCAAACTTATGATCTTCCTGCCTCAGCCTCCCAGAGGACTGGCACTAATGGCAAACACCACCACATCCAGTGTTTTTGTTTTTTTGTGATCCTGGATTCCACCTCAGAATCTATTTTTAACAAATTGCTCCATGCAGTCACTGTCATTGGAAGCCGTCTGAGCTCTGTGGCAGTTGTTCCCAGGCTCTTTGCACACTATGGGGTTCTTGTCCATCTGAGCCTGAAGCTCCTGCCTTGTAGTGCGTTGGTGTTTCTCCAGCACAGTTCTCAAGGACTTAACTGCAGTGCTGGCTGATCAAAATTTACCATAAGTGCCATACAGAATTTTTTTTTGTTTTTATCTTTTTGAGACAAGGTCTCACAATGCAGTTCAGGCTGGCCTAGAACTCACAGTGATCCTCCTGCCTCAGCCTCCCGAGTGCTGGGATTACAGGACTGCGCCACCACACCTGGCTATAATTATAAAATTTCTAGTAGCAACATTACAAACTCTTTTTTAAATTTTTATTTCTTACGCATACATGTTTGCGGTACATAATGGCTACTTTCCTGGTGGGGAGCTGGTGTGTACAGTGGTGCCTCTGTCCACAAGTGCTTTTGTTTGTGAACACTCTGGTTGGCAAACCGAAGCACTTGGTAAACTTTTGTTTTTGTTTGCAAACTCTGAACTAGGTGACAGACCTGACTGTGGCCAACTAGGTGACAGACCTGACTGTGGCCATCTTTCCCATGGGAACACTCACGTGGCCATCTCCCCAGCATTGTGGAATGAGTGACGTTCACAACTGAGGTGCTGCTGCACATAACGCACCTTAATTCCTTTTGCATCTTGTAACCTGCTCTTCCCTCCTCCTCCCTCCATATCCTTGTCTCCTCTTCTGTAAAAAGATCTGTCTCCCTATTTCCTATTATTTTTTATTTTGCTCTTTATTTATATTTTGGGTTAAAAGCACTGCAGTACACCCCTGTAACCTCAGCTACTCAGAGGCTGAGGCAGAAGGATCTCAAGTTGAAGGCCAGCCTGGGCAACTTACTAACACCTGTCTCAAAAATTATAACTGAAAAGGGGTGCGGGTTGTGGCTCAGCGGTACAGTGCTTGCTTAGCCTGCGTGAGTCTGTGGGTTCAATCCCTAGCACTACCACCACCACCACCAAAAAAATTTTTAAATATCTATTTTATTTAACCCAATATATTAATATGATCCATTTAACATGTAATATAAAGAAATTGTTGAGGGTTTTTTGGTTTATTTCTGTTTTTTGCACTATTGGGGATTAGAACCAGTGGCAAGCACTCGACCACTGAGCTACATCTCGAGCCCTGCTGAGGTATTTTATGCGCTTTTTATACAGAATTCTGGAAATCTAAGGTGCATGCACCTTGGCAGCACACGTGGGTGTGGACTGGCCATATTTCAAGTTCTTGCCGCTGTGTATGGGTCACGGGTGCTGTGGGGGACGGTGCGGAGCCGAGCCAGGCCCGGGGGCACTCGTGTGCTCTGTCAGTGCCTCCACTGGAGCAGCTCTGCGTCCCCTGAGTCTTGTGTGCTCCCTGGAGAAGGACCACTCTTCCGGTGCTTTGGCAACACCTGCAGTGCCAGGTTCAAAGGTTCAACCACTTATCAAACATGATGGAGGCCCGCTAGGTGCCCAGCTGGGGCTAGGGATGGGGCAGCGTCCCTGACTGAGAAGAGTGAGGAGCAGCCTCGTGAGGGAGGGGCAGTGGAGCTGTGGCTCCAGTTAGAACCAGGGCCTGTGGGCAGCAAGGAGTGGGAAGAGGCCTGCAGTGTCCAGGAGGGCAGGGAGCGAGCAGAGCACAGGCCTTGCCCTGTCGCCGCGGTAGCTTCTTGGTAGTTTAGCACTTGCGCATGGGGACACAGAGGAGTGCAGTAGGCGTCTTGTGACTCCTTGCCTGACTCTTCTCGGCCTTCTCCCTAGGGCTGGGCCGGACCCGGGCGGGCACAGCGCGGCCCCAGGCTTTGCCCGCAGCGGGTGAGGATGAGGGAGACGAAATGGAGGCCAAGCAGGCGGTGCTCATCGACAGCTCCTACCTGTGCCAGTTCTGCCCCAGCAAGTTCAGCACCTACGTGCTGCTCAAGTCCCATATGACCCAGCACAAGAACGAGCAGGTAGGTGGGCAGAGGGCAGCAAGGGCCGCAGTTATCCACCGTGAGCCGTGGCTGGTGCAGGGGTCGTGTGTGTGTGCCTGTGTGTGTTACTGGGGACTGAATCTAGGGCCTTTACACTCAGCTGTATCCCTAGTACTTTCACATTTTTTATTTTTGAGTCCAGGTTGGGCTCAAATTTATGATCCTCTTGCCTCAGCTTCCCAGACAGCTGAGATTACAGGCCTGCACCACCACATCCAGTTGAATCCTGCTGCAAAAGGACAGGAGTTAGCCCCTCAAATCTTTTCTTGCAGCTCTTATCCTTAGGGTAGATTCCTAACAGGGGTGCATGGAGTTAATTTGGGTGATCTTGGGAAAAATTCCAGCTGGCTTAAAGAGTTCGGAAGCTTGTCATCTCAGAGCACAAGGCCTGGATGGGGCAGCTCCAGGCCTGAGCAGTCAGGTGACTCAGCCCAGAGCCAAGGCTTGGGTGTCTCTTCAGCTCTGGTCACCACCATCGCAGAGCATGGCTGTGTCCCGCACTGTGGCTCATCTTCTGGTCTTGGGATGGCGGTCACTTTCCTAGGAAGCAGTCCAGACATGGTATCATGAGCAGTGGGAACCTTCTTAGGAGTAAGGGCCCCTTTCCGAGAAACGTTCTCTAGATCTCATTGGTCAGGGTCAACACATGTGCTCCGTCACTTAGGGATGTGTTATTCTGCGGATAACAGAGCACTGGCTTCCTAGTTAGGTTTTATTTCTCCCACATGAAAAGAAGTTCATAAGTAGGCAGTGTTGGGCTTGTGCGGTGGCTCACATATGTCATGCTGGAGCAGGCTTCTAGCTCCCTGTCTGCTGTCCTTAGCTTGTGGCATTCATCCTTAAGGTTGCAGAGTAGCAGCTACATCTGCATCCATCAGGGTAAGTGCAGCCATCGAATTTCTCCCAGGATGCTTTTGTGTTTTCGTTCTGGGAGGGATGCTGTCCCCAGAACTGCTGCCTGCTGACTCCTGTTGGTGAGAAGGGCGTCATATGGCTGGCACTAGGTGCACAGGATCAGGGGACCAAGTGTCTTACTTAGGTGTTTTGCCACCTTGAGCAATGAGGATTCACTTTGTTAGGAAGGAAGAGTTGTCACATTGTGTAGGCACCCAAGGAATGTGTGCTACTTATCAAAGTAAAATTTCCAAAATCTTATATACAATGAGACTTGATGTGAGTTAGCATGTTCCTTAACTCATTAATGAAGGAACTGGAAGGGTTACAAAACCAGTTCAAAAAAGACGTGAAAGCCATGTATGGAGGTGCATGTTTGTAATCCCAGCACTCCAGAGGCTGAGGCAGGAGGGTGGTGAATTGGTATCTAAAAAGACACTGTCTCAAAGAAAAAGAACACCAAAGTCAGACTGCTAAATTAGATACACATCTGGTTCATGTTCTGCAGGTCAGCAACACCCTGACCTTTGAGGTTATCTTCTCTACCTGACAAAAATCATTATATTGGATGAGTTTTACAAGTTAATATTTAATTTGAGAGCTTGGGTCCTGAATCAATAGTAAGCTCTCAAAACCCGCCCCCATTCCCCAAACCGGAAAGCCCTAGGCAGGCTTGTTGGGTCACAGTCCTCAAAGTGAGATACCCAGACCAACAATATCAGCATCACCTAAACGTTCCTGGTCAAGACTCCGTATATTCAGACTACCACACCTCCAGAGTCAGATACTCCAGAGGTGGCGCCCAGCAATCTGGTATGCTTATGTCTGTTAAGGTTTGTGAGCTACTACTCCAGGGGGACATTGGAAGGACATGCTGTTGTCCCTTCACTGCCTCTCCAGGTCTTACATGATTCTTTTTCTCTTTTCTTGAGACTGCATCTCACGATGTAGTTCACTCTGGCCTTTAACTTACTGTGTAGCTCACGCTGGCCTCAGACTTAGCAATTCTCCTGCCTCATCCTCCCAAGTGCCCGGATGGTTTTTCTGCATACATCTAGGCTACACAGAGAGAAAAGAACCCTCTAATTGAAATAAAACCAGCGCTTCAGCCGGGCATGGTGGCACATGTCTATAATCCCAGCACTCGGGAGGCTGAGGTGGGAAGATCGCTTCAAGTTTGAGGCCAGCCTGGGCTCCAAAGTGATTTCAAGGCCAGCCTGACCTGCATAGTGAGACCCTGTCTCAAAAAGACAGAACAAAAATGAAAAAACAATAGCGCTCCGGCAGTCAGGGGCACGGGAAAGAGGTCAGAGCATCTCCCAGCAGCGTCCAATGCCAGTGGCAAGAGGCAGGGGCAGCGGTGACAGTGGTCCTCCTGCCTTCCCCACCTGCCCAGCATCTCCCTGCAGGTGTACAAGTGTGTGGTCAAGAGCTGTGCGCAGACCTTTCCCAAGCTTGACACATTTCTGGAGCACATCAAGAGCCACCAGGAGGAGCTGAGCTACCGCTGTCACCTCTGCGGCAAGGACTTCCCCTCGCTGTACGACCTGGGCGTGCACCAGTACTCCCACAGCCTGCTGCCCCAGCACAGCCCCAAGAAGGACAGTGCTGTCTACAAGTACGTGCCTCCCCGTCCTGCCCGGGTGTGTGGGCCAGTAGGCAGGGCTCAGGGTCACTGTGGCGTCATTGACCACTCAGGACCAGGGAGACACCTCCACAGGGGAAACTGAGGCTCCAGGCTGGGGCCCAGCCTGGCAGAGTGGTTTCTGGTGTTGGCACAGGTGAGGGAAATATCTGGGCTCTCCTCGTGTCAGGCTTCTCTGTCTTGGTTACTTTTCACATTGCTGAGACAAAATACCTGATGCCCAAAGTTAAAGGAAGAAGGGTTTATTTAGCTCACAGTTTGCAGAGGTTTCAATCCTTCATTGGCTGGCACAAGGCAGGGTGGCATGGCAGAGGGGCATCGCAGAGGAGAAACAGTTCATGGCAGGCAGCAAGCAAAAGGCAGCAGCCACTGTGAATCCATGCCAGCATCTGGACCTTGATCCCAGCAGCACACACCCCAGATCCAGCCACCTCCAAAAAGCCCCATCTATCACCTCACAAGGCTTTGGGGGGACATCTAGACACAAACCATAACATTTTTCTTGGCAGACCTTTGTTATAGAAAAAATATTCTTTAAAAGGGAAACCAATATCTCCTTATTTATGATGGAAAAGTTTTTTTTCGCCCTAGACTAAAAGATTATGAAAATATAGTTAGGTGTGGTGGCACACGCCTGTAATCCCAGCACTCTGGGAGGCTGAGGCAGGAGAATGGAAAGATTGAGCCCAGTCTGGGCAACTTAATGACTTAGCAAACCCTGTCTTAAAAAAAGTGGGGATGGCTGGGAACGTAGCTCATTGTGAAAGCCCTGGGTTTTACAAGTTAATATTTAACTTGAGAGGTTGGGTCCTGAATCAATAGTAAGCTCTCAAAACCCGCCCCATTCCCCAAAGCACCGGAAGGCCCTAGGCAGGCTTGTTGGGTCACAGTCCTCAAAGTGAGATACCCAGACCAACAATATCAGCATCACCTAAACGTTCCTGGTCAAGACTCCGTATATTCAGACTACCACACCTGCAGAGTCAAATACCCCAGAGGTGGCGCATGTCCAGAGCCACCAGAAAAGAACCCTTTAATTGAAATAAAACCAGCACTTCAGCCGGGCATGTGCCCAGAACCACAAAAGCAAAAACAATCGTTTTGCTTCATCATCCACAAAACAGTATACTGATTCTTAGGGTGAACAAGCATGTATTGGAAAGCGAGAATCACAGCATAGATTTGTTGCTTTATAATCTATAAGATGTGGGCTGGAGTTCAGCTAGGTGCCAAGTCTGAGACTGACAAAGGGCTAGACCAAGTGTAGACTTCACTGGGGGTGATTTTTCTGGATCCGCTGTTCTCTCACGTTAGTCCCCCGGCGCCGTCATGGAGGGTCCCTTTGTAGACAGGAGGAAGCTGCCCTGGTCTGCCATGCGCTCTTCACCCTTAGCTCGACACCCTTAGCTCGGCCTGCCATCCTCTTGGAGCCGTGGCTCCTGTGGCCTGCTGTCCTGTGCGTCCTCAGGATTGTTTCCCGGCCTCCGCAGCACCCATTTTGTACAGGGCATCTCTGCAGCCACTCAGCCTGACTCCCTGACTGCTTCAGACCCTGGGCTTCTGCGCTGTGAGCTTTTCACCTGCATTTGCTCCTGGGGACAGTTGCGGTGCGAAGCAAGGAGGACTGTCTGACTGGGCCTCCTTCCACCTCTGCCATGAGGACTCTCACCATTTGTATCAGTGGGCACCCCAAGCAGTGGGCCAGGACCTCTGTTACTGTCCTAGGGGAGGCTCTTGCTTCAGAGCTAAGTAAATGCAAACCTTGAGCTTGGATGCTAGGGATACAGGTGAGTAAACAAGTGCTTGCTGCAGACTGTAGTAAAGTGCTGTCGTCCTCCCCTGAGGGGTAGGCGCCCTTGGGATGGCCTCCAGGCAGAATGGTGTCGTGGAGCCACCTGCCTATGCTCAGATCTCCGTAGATGACCTTGGGCAAAGTATTCCACCACCAGCGGCTTCAGTTTCCTCATCTGTGAAATGGGGATCACAGTCGTGTGTAACTTATGGTACTGGGAACTGAACCTAGAGGTGCTCTTCCCTTGAGCTTCATCCAGCCCTTTTTATTTTTTATTTTGAGACAAGGTCTCACTAACTTGTGAGTCTCAAACTTGTGGTCTGGCCTCAAATTTGTGATCCTCCTGCCTCAGCCTTCCAAGTAACTGGATTATAGGTCGGTACTCCCATGCCCATCATCTACTGGACTTTTTATAAGGATCAAGTAAGACAAGGAAGAGGCATGTAGACGTGTCCCTTGGAACAAAATAGGTGCTCAATGAAGCTGATTGCCGCAGTGAATATTGTCTTTATTTAGATGTAGGCTTGGCTGCCTGCAACAGAGACCCTAGTAACAGTGGCTTAAACAAGTGAGAGTTTCTGACTCTCACTGGAGCGTTAGGCTGGTGTGGTGGCTCCATCCAGGTCCTGCCTGTCTGTTGGTTCTGATTCCTGAGCCCTGTAGGCTTGACTTGCCTGTGGGTATTGCCCCAAGCCTCTGCAATGAATCTCATACGTGACACTATATCTGTGCTGTATATTCTGCTTTTATCTTTTTTCTTTGCTTTGCTTTTTTTCTTTTTTATTTCTTTTTTCCCTCTCTTACTCCCTCCCCCTTTTCTTCTTTCCTTCCTTTCTTTTTTTCCCTTCCTTCCTCCCCTCCCTCCCTTCTTTTCTTCATTTTTTTGTGGTACTGGGGGATTGGCCCCAGGGCCTTTGCACTGAGCTATATCCCCACCCCTTTTTTTATTTTTTGAGTCTTGCTAAGTTTCTGAGTTGCTTGGGGTGGGCTTGACTTTGTGATTCCTCTGCCTCAGACTCCCAGAGTCCTGGATTACAGATGTGTCTCACCATGCCTGGTGAGAAAAAAATTGTAAAAATTATTTTTATTAGTGTGTGTTTGTGAAACATACAGCAGTGTTTACATGCAGCATCGGGGTCTGATACACATGCATATCACTTCTTGGTCACTTTTACTTCCCCCTTCTCCTTCCCAGACCACTTTCCTGTGTCTACAGAGCCTCCTCCCTGTTTCTTTTTTCTTTCTTTTCTTTTCTTTTTTTTTTTTTTTTTTGTCTATTTGAGACAAGGTCTTGCTATGCAGTTCAGGCTGGCCTTGAGCTCACTTTGTGGGCCAGAACTCACAATAATTGTCCTGCCTCAGCCTCCCGAGTGTTGGGATTACAGGTGTGCGCCACCACGCCCAGCCCCTCCCTGTTGCTTAATGTGGCTCTTTACCTTGCTCTTTAAATTATTTGTATTTTGGGTCTCTCATACTTTTTTAATTTATTTTTTTTATTTGGGTCTCTCGTATTAAGATAACTGAGAAAAGATTTTTTAAAAACTGTACATGGATAGAAAAAAAACCCAATTCCTGTCACTCATAGATAACCACTGTTAACCTCTTGGTATATGTCCTTCGGTGAATAGCTATAATATATATGTTTATAGATATGAATACAGATATAAATATCACAGTCATAGTCCCAGACACAGCCAAAGAATTGGCGAAAGCTCATCACACCATCTTCCTATCGGGTAGATCCTGATGAACAGGCTGAAATTTAGTGAGATCCCACTGTACGCGTGGTGTTATCATTTTTTAAAGATATATTTTAAAAACCAGGCATAGTAGTAAACACATAGTTCCAGCCATTTGGGAAGCTGAAGCAGGAGGATTCCTTCAGTCCAGGAGTTCAAGACCAGACTACAGAATGTTGTGAGAACCACATCTCTAAAAAAAGCATCAAATCCATCCTGTCTTTATTCACTCAGTGGTACAGTACCTGCCTGGTAAGTACAAGGCCCCAGTTTGATCCCAACACTACAAAAAGCAAAACAGTACCCAAGTAAGCTGGGTGTAGTGGTGCATGCCTGTAATCCCAGCACTCAGGAGGCTGAGGCAGGAGAATCACCACCACAAGTTTGAGGCCAGCCTGGGCCACATAGTAAATTCAGGGCCAGCCTAAAATATACAGCAAGACCTTGTCCAAAACCAAACAGAACCGAACCGAAACAAAACAAAACAAAACACCTTTTAGCCTGGTGTGATGGCTCGTGCCTATATTCTACCACTCAGGAGCCAAGGCAGGAGAATTGTGAGTTTGAAGCCATCCTGGGCTACATAGGGAGTTTGAAGCCAGCTACAGGGGGAGACCTCGTCTCAGAAAAAAGAAATGAAAACAAAATGACAAAAACCTATTGTAATTAAAACTATACATGGACATCTTTGCATTTCAGTATGGACCTGACTATTCTTTTAAACAACTACTTAGTATTCGATTGTACATGGATGCACTGTGATTTACTTAAACCATTTCTCACTGCTGGATAATTGGGTTATCTCCAGTTTGTCATTATTATAAACAGTGCTACAGGGAGCAGCTTTGGGCATACATCTTTGCTCATCTGTAAGTTCCTAAAAATGATTTTGCAGGTCAGAAGCCCAAGGGAGTTCTAAGAAAGATTAATTACCTGCTTCAAAAAAAGAATTGTTATGTGCATATAGCACAGGATTTTAAAAAAATCACAAAAAGGCACAGAGTGAATAGGAATTCCTCATCCACCAGACCTACTTCCCCCTATTACAGTATAGGCAAACATGTTCAAAAAGTGTTCTTTTTATTTGCATTTGCAAGACTCTGGCTTCAACCCACAGAGTCTGCGTGTATGTGTGTGTGTGTGTGTGTGTGTGTGTGTGCACACACATACACACACACACAAATGTGTTCTTCTTAAACTTTTATTTTTGGCCAGGCGTGGTGGCACACGCCTGTAATCCCAGGACTCGGGAGGCTGAGGCAGGAGGATCATTGCAAATTCAAGGCAAGCCTGGGCCACAAAGTGAGTTCAAGACCAGCCTGCAGAGCGAGACCCTGTCTCAAAAAAACCAAAAAATAAGTAAATAAATAAACTTTTATTTTTTAGGGACCAGGAATTGAACTCAGGACTATGTGTTTGCCAGGCAGATGCTTGTGTTGAGCTATATCCCTGGCCCTAAACTTTTATTTTGGTATAATTTCAGACTTCTAGAATAATGATGAGAAGAGTGTGGAGAAGTCCCATATAAGGACTCCTCCATGATTTCCCACCTGTTAATGTTGTGTCCCATTTGCTTATCATATGCTGAAGTATTTGGAAGTAATTTGCAGGCATAATGCTCTTTATCTTTATTTACCCTCCACGTGTGTTTCCTAAAATAAGGAAAAAACTTCATATTTAAGCACAGTGGAGTTCCTAAAATCGGAGAGTTGACATCAGCACAACTCTCCTACCTAACCCATGCACCAAGGGCCAGGGACGTAGCTCAGTGGTGCAGCGCCTGCCTGGCAAGCACGAAGCCCTGAGTTCAATTCCTGGTACCGAAAAAAGAAAAAAAAAGCCAAAACAAAAAATTGAAAATTTCCAACTGTTCCAATAACATCCTTTGTAGAAAAAAAGGAAAAAATAAAGTGCTTTTTCTGGCCCAGGGTGCAACTGAGGATCACACATGTTCAGTTGTCACTCTCTTTTCCCACCTTGAAGCTGGAGCAGGTCCTCATTCTGTTGTTGCCTTTCATGACTTTGGATTTTTTTTTTTTTTTTTTTTTGCAGTGCAAGGGCTCCAACCTAGGGCCTTGTACATGCTGGGCAGGTGCTCTACCCCCGCCTAAACTTGATATTTTTGAAAAGTATAGACAGGTTATTTAGTAGGGTGCTCTTTGAATCTGCCGGATTTAACTTGTGACGACATCCAGGATGCGCACTGTCAGCGAGAACATCACAGGGACACCCCCGTGTCGTCTGTGCGTCCTCGCTGAGGCCCGTGCTGCCGATTTGTTCCATGACTGCTGGTGTTACCTTGGGAGACCTAGTAAAGATGGTAGTCCTGATGGCGAGCTCTTTTTGTTTTTTGTTTTTCATGAGACAGGGTCTCACTTTGTAGTCCAGGCTGGTCTCAAGCTTGTGATTCTCCTGCCTCAGCCTCCTGGCTGGGGAGTTTTATTTTCATCGTTTTTGTTAACTTCCTCTTGTACAAACCCATATATTTCTCTTACTTCCCAGCTTGCTCAGTCTCTGCCTCCTGGTACCTCTTTCCCATTTGGCCTCTTCTTCCTGTCTTTCTATCCCTATGGACTTTTTCTGTGGTTCTAGAGTATGGTCTGAGGGTGTCCCCTGTGCCTACCTGCCTGGGCCTCCCCACAGCTGGCACTGATGTACAGAATGACAGTGCCCACATTGCTGTCTTTGTTGTGGGCTGCCTACCTATTGGTGCCTGGAGTCGTAAGCCAAAGGCTCAACTCCAGGGTCCCCAGCAGACCAGGCCCTGCCGCCTGCCTCCTTGAGAGCCCAGTCAGACAGTTGAGTGACAGTGAAGCAAGAAAGGGATTTATTCAGGCAGCGTGGCCACCCTGCTGTCCTAAGCCCTGCCTTCCAGGGCATCAGTAGAGCTCAGTTTATATAGGGGAAGGACGAAAGGGCGTGGAGAAGTGTGCCCTGGTACGCAAAAGAAGAATGCCTGGGTACGCAGTCTTGCTTAAGCTGGTCTAGTTGATCATTATCTCAGGACTGGTTCCACAGTTCTGCTGGCACCTGGAGTTGTTTCTGCTTGCAGCGGGTAACTGAGATGATTGCTCCTGCTCAGGAGGTAGCAAGGTTCTCACAGGTCAATCCCTTCCGCTTACCAGGGCAGCTGAGTCCTGGGGTGATCTGCCTGAAAGGGTTCCTGTTCCTGGAATCTTGAAGTTAGCTTAGGTTCTTTTATCTCAGTATCTTCAGTCTTGAAGGAGGGCAAGAAAGGTTGGGTAAACTTAGGACGGAGGGACCTTATCGTACCAGTTTTTAGACCGACACTCCTTAAGTGATTAACATATCTCATCTGTGTGCAGAGTTGAGTAGGAATCTAATGCAAAGTTTCAGGTGGCAGAGGAGACATACAAAACAAAGGCAGAGATGCCAAGCTTTTATCCTGCTGTTAGTTTCCCATCAGACATCTGCAGGCCCAAGTGAAGTCGGTGCATTTTAGCAAAAGCAGCCTCTCGGTCCAGTCACACCACCCGCGGCGTTGCTCACGGCGCCTCGTTGTAAAAGGGGCCATTGGCTGGCAAGTGTTTTGTGGTGGGGAGATGTGGTGTCTTTTATTCTGTTAAGCGTTTCGTGGCCAGGAGTGCTGTTTTTGTGGTGGAAGCCAGGGCACATTCTAGGCCAGCACTCTACCAATGGGCTCTGCCCCGGGCTCCTGAGCACTGAGCAGAGGGCCCAGTCACCACAGCGATGTCAAGAGAGACAGCCGTCCCGATGGCACTGTGCAGCTTATGACTGCTTGGCACAGTGTGTCCTGTGACTCTGTGACGTCCTTAAGAGTGAGCAGGGCCACTGGGGATTCCTGCCCCGGGTGACGGTTAGAAACCTGAGAGCATCAGAGACAGGAGCGTCCCGCGTCCCTGCCTGACTCCTCACTGATGCATAGAGCACGTTGTCAGCGGGAAAGATATGGTCCCCACAGCAAGGACCACTTGCTAGTGGAGAGACAGGTTGTAACCAAGTAAGGAAGCAAATAAAATACTTCTAGATAATAAGTGCTAAGAAGAAAATAAACTGGGAGACCTAACAGGGAGTGGCTGGGGTGAACTGTGGGGAGCCATGAGGCAGGATGGCCAAGGAGGGCCTCTGTAAGGAGGTGACATTCGGGCTGAGATGTGAGGGATGAGAAGGTGTTGCTCAGGAGAGGGTTTGGGAAAGAAAGTTCATGTAACAGCAACAGCAAGTGCAAAGGCCCTGAGGGAGGAACAAGCTTGATAGGTTTAGACGTTCAGGATGGGCAGAGCAGTGACTTAGGTGGTACATTAGTGAGGGTTTTCTAAAGGAACAGAACCACTGGGAAGCCTGTGTATAATTATGCCAGAGGATTTATTAGGTCGACTTACAGGATCAGAGGCAGAAGAGGCCACAGTGGCCATCTGTGCACTAGAGAGCTGGAGGATCTAACAGCTGCTGAGCCCAAGAAGACAGAAGCTTCCTGGATGCAGCACCAGGCCGAAGTCGAAGGCCTGGAAGCTCACTGTAGAGTTGCCGGTGTGAGTCTGCATTTGAAGGCCAAAGAAACTGGAAATTGATGTCCAAGGGCAGTGGCGAAGCCTGGAACTCTTCCACAATGGGGGCACTTCCTTCTTTCCCTTTTCCCTCGGTCAGGGCTGCAAGTCTCTTGGTTGGTGCCGCCCACATCCGAAGTAGGTCTTCCTCCTCCGTTTGCTGGGCTGCGTGTCAGTCACCCACGGAGCCGCTCAGAGCTGTGCTGGGCTGACCTCCTCGGTGGTTTTCAGTCCCCTCAAGTTGACATGTCGTGAGGAAGGGTCCCAGGTGGCAAGTGAAGGAAAGGGGACCTGAGAGGTGGGATTGGGTTGGGCTGGGGGGCCTTGTCTTGATTTTCAGTTTTATTTATTTTTGTGCGGTGCTGGGGCTGGACCCCAGGGCCTCCAACATGCTAGGTGAGCCCTGTGCTACTGAGCTGTGACCCCAGCCCTGGTGCTGCTTTTTAAAGACTCCTTCTGGCTGCCTGTGGAGAGCAGACAGCAAGCCAGAGAGGAGGCAACTGCACCTGTCCGAGCAGGAGCTGATGGCAGCTTGGGTGAGGACGGAGGCAGTGGCACCGGGAGAGTGGACAGATTTGAGAGTGGATGAGGGGTTTTGCCTCCTGACTTGGCCCTGGGCAGCAAGAGACCAGTCACTGTGTGTGCTGGGTCTCCTCACCTGTCCTCCTGCTTCCCACATAGGTGTGTCAAGTGTGTCAAAAAATACTCCACGCAGGAGGCCCTGGAGCACCACCTGCAGACGGCCACTCACAACTTCCCCTGCCCGCACTGCCAAAAGGTGGGTCCACTGCTCTCTCCCCGTGGCTGTACCATTATGCTTGTTCTTATTGGTTCTTTCTTCCAGGACTCTGGCAGCCTGTCCTAAAGCCGTCAAATGTCCAGCAAGCGTTCCAGTCACCGCTGTGTCAGGCCGTCATCATTTTTTTAAAGTTTATTTGCGTCAGGTCTATGGCTTGCGGTTGACAGCTACGACAAAGGCTTCCATTATCTGGGCCCCTCCCCCGCCAGCCCCCTTGCGCCCTTCTAGTTTCCTTTTAATTTATTTGTTGAGGAAACTGGGCCACAGGTCCTGTGGAGCTCCCCGCAGTCTGGGCTTTGCTGATTGCATCCCCTGGTGTGTTTGCCTTGTTTCCTTATTCTGCTAATTTTTAACAACCTTGCGTAGCAGATTTCCCAGCATAGCCCTGGTTTACCTTGGCCTCATTCTAGACACTTGTAATTATATAGCCCAAGCTCAGGCTTCAAAATTTAAAGGGAATCGTGAATTGAGCAAGAAGCATGTAGGAGGTGCTGTGCTGAGCATCTTATCTGAATTGACTCGAAGGCCCCCAGGAGGAAGATGGGCTCTTCTACTTCCGTCTGACAGGTGGAGATGCCAGTGACGGGCCTGATGAGCAGTGGGGTGGCTGGGTTTGTGCCCCTACTCGCTTCTTCACACCAAATGGATGCATGAATGCTCATCTTGTGCCTAGACTGAGAAAGGATTTTGGCTCCTGCGTTTTCTGGTCCTTTACTATCTGTTTCGTTAGTTATTTGTTCACTTTTTCCTTCATTCCTTTGTGAGTCCTTTGAGCCAGTGCCTGACCCAGAGGGGAATGAAAGCCCCTCTGTCCTTTCAGAGCCCTGTGTAAGCAAAGAGGGATGCCTTTCAGTGGGTTAAATGATGACTTAAAAATGTAGGTGATAAAAGGCAGAATGGGCTGTGCCTAGCATGGCACAGGGGGGCGAGGGAAGGCGTCCCACAGGCAGCTCCCGGATCCCTGATTGGGTCCTGAAGAGTCGGTAAGAGTTTGTGAGACTGAGGGAGAAAGCCTGCCTTTCTCTCTAGGGACAGCTTGGCAGAAGCTCAGTGGGGTGTGTTGTGCGGGGCTTGCCGGTGAGATGAGGGGGAGCCACGAGGTCCTGAGGGCCGATGTGACACTGGGCCCTGGTCCCCGGGAGGCAGAAAGGAAGGCGTCTCCACGGGCCTGTGAGCTCTGGAGGGGGCCTGGTGAGACTGCCCTGAAGCCACGCTTCTCCTCCAGGTGTTTCCCTGTGAGCGCTACCTGCGGCGGCACCTGCCCACCCACGGCAGCGGGGGCCGCTTCAAGTGCCAGGTGTGCAAGAAGCTCTTCCGGCGGGAGTATTACCTCAAGCTGCACGCCCACATCCACTCAGGTGGGCGCCGTGCCCTGCTTCCCCTTCTCTCTGTCCTTTTCAGTCTCCTGCCGTCCCATGGTACTCTCTCCCCGCCCGTACCCTCCTGCCCTTCCCTTCCCTTCCCTTCCTTTCTCTGCACCGCTCTTCCTCCCCACTCTCTTCCTCTCCCTCCTGGCCCATGACCTATCTGCTGCACTTGTGGAACAGCGATGCCACCCTTGCTGGAGCAAGATGAGCCCCAGAGGCTGGGGGGTCTCACCCCGCTCCACCGCTCTGAGCCCCCGGGCTGGGCATGCTGCTCTTGCTGCAGAGTTCTCAGTCAAACCCGGACTGAGCTCCCTTTCCTTGCTTCTGCAGTTGAGATGTATTGACATTGTATTTTCTTTTATGTATTTATTTATGTATTTATGTATTTATTTATTTATTTATTTATTTATTTATTTGTCTTTTTGAGACAGAGTCTCACTATGCAGTTCAGGCTAGCCTTAAGCTCACTTTGTAGCCCAGGTTGGTCTCAAACTTGCAATGATCCTCCTGCCTCAGCTTCCCGAGTACTGTGATTGCAGGCGTGCGTCACCATGCCTGGCTGTATTTTCTTTTAATCTTTAAATTTTATTAGTTAAAAATTTTTGGCGGGGGATGTGTAGCTCAGTGCTTGAGTGCTTGCTCGACATGAGTGAGGCCCTGGGTTTAATCCCCAGTACTGCAAAGCAAACAAAAACACCAAAACATAAAAAAAATTTTTTTTTTCATTGAAAAAGATCTAAAGATTAAGAAAACCTAAGGAGAAAATAAAAATCCTTAACAGCACGAAAGCATATACAATGAAAATAATCCCCTCTCCCTCAGGTGGATAAGCCAGTGATCTGCAATTCTTTTTTTTACTATGATTTATGCTTAAAATAAATACACACACACACACACACACACACACACACACACACACGCCAAGTGTGGTGAAGAATGCTTGTAATTCCACCTACTCAGGAGGCTGAGGCAGGAGGACTGCAAATTCAAGGCGAGCCTGAGTAATTTAGCAAGACCCTGTCTCAAAATAAAATTTTAGGGGCTGGGGATTTAGCTCAGCAGCATAGCGCCTGCCTGGCAAGCATGACGTCATGAGTTCGATTCCCGGTACCAGATAAAAACCAAAACCAAAAAAAAAAAATTTTTTTTAAAGGGCTGGAGGTGTACCTGGGTGGTAGAGCTTGTCTAGCATGTGCAAAGCCCTGGGTTCAATCCCTATACTGAGAAAAATTATACATTTTATATTGCAGTCTATTAAATATATATGCACATAGAGTATATTAAAACAGATTTCACAAAGCAGTAATTGTTGTCCAGTTTGCATTTTTGAAATAATTATTACCTGGGAATTGGTGGTGTGTACCCATAGTCTCAGCTCTTTGGGAGACTGAGGTGAGAGGATCACTTGAGCCCAGGAGCTAGAACAGTCCGGGCAATGTAGTGACATCCTGCCTCAAAACAAAAGACTAAAGTCTCCTGCAGATTGTGACTGCAATTTGCAATTTTTAAGATACTCATAATTCTGTTACTGTCTAATATAGGTCATTCTTTTTTTTTTAATTTTTGAGACAGGGTTTTGTTATGCAGTTCAGGCTGGTCTCGTACTCACTTTGTAGCCCAGGCTGACCTTGAACTCACAGCAATCCTCCTGCCTCAGCCTCCTGAATGCTGGGATTATAGGTATGCATCATTATGCCCAGCATCCTTCTATTTTTTAAAATTAATTTTACTGAAAAAAATAATTTTACTGATCCCATAGTCAGCTGGCTCCATTGCTTTTATTTATTTATTTTTAGAGTTAATTTTATTGGTTCCATTAGTGTGGGTCATTCGTTTCATTTTATATCTGTATATCACACTTGCTTACTTTTACATAAATGAGCATGTACTACAATAATTATGAGCCTTATTTCCTTAATCAGTGTATCTTGAAGATGTTCCCAGATAGAACCTTCTTTTTCACACTGGTATAATATTCTCTTGTCCTCCACAAACGGACCCTTAAGTTATTATTTTTTACAGTGCTGGGGATAGAATGCAGGGCCTCGAGCATGCTAAGCAAGTGCCCTGCCACTGAGCTATCCCATAGCCCTAGGTTTGAATTACTTTTCAGCTGTTAGCCTGTGAAGTTTGTCACTGTGCTGTGTGGGACCCTTGGCAAGCCTTTGGAGTGGATCTGGAGTATTTATTCCCAGCAGTGTAAGTTCTAGCTTAAAATGTATATGTAGGACTGAATTTGCTTTGGGGATGGTAAAGAAAGTTCTAGAGAGTGATGGTGGTGATGGCTCAACGATCTAATGCCACTGAGCTATGCATTTAAAGATGGCTAAAATTGTAAATTTAATGGTATGTATATTTTACAGCAGTAAAAAAGAAAAAGAAACATGCGCATTATAATTTTGATAGATATTACAAAATCACCTTCTTTGCTTTTTTATTATTTAATTTTTGTTTGGGTACTGGGCAGTGAACCCATGGCTTTACATTGAGCTATGCTTTGCTCCCTCTCTTTATGGTTTTTTAAAATTATTTTTCAAAAGTAATACAAACTGATTGTAAAAGTGGAAGCAATATAGAAGTACTTAAAGTAAAAACCTTTTCTTTTTTTGGAAATAGTGTTCACTATATAGTTCAGGCTGGCCTCAAACTTACCATGATGCTCCTGCTTCAGCCTCCTAAGCACTGGGATTACAGCCAAGGGCCATTACACCCAGCCATAAAGTAAAATGTTAAATTCTCCCTTCAACTCCTACTTGCTGACAGTTTGGTGCTTGCTCCCCCAGTCTTTCTCTCTGTATCTTTGTTGTATATAAAACACACACATGCCAGGAATGGCGGCACATGCCTGTGATCCGAGCATTCAGGAGGCTGAGGCTGGAGGATCACTGCAGGTTTAAGACCAACCTGCCGTACATAGTGAGTTCATAGCAAGACCTATCTCACAAAACCAATACATACATATACACATCCCTACGTATATACATACAAAGAAACCACATGTGACTAGGTTTTCTTGAGGTTTGAGGATTGTGCTTTTTCCTAATAGAAAAGGGACCATGCAAAGCTGTTCTGTAGTTTCTTTTCTGCTTAGCACTATGGCCGGAAGATCTTTCCAGATGAGGGAACACAGAGTGCCCTTGATGCTCTGCATGACTGCAGAGTGTTCCACTGTGAGGACCAGACTTTTCGTAACCAATTGGGCTGGTAGTTTTCAAAGTACTTTATTCATTCCAGAGAGCAAATAGTGGCAGGAAATCAAAGTAGCCTGAGAACAGTCCTTCCTTTCCAAAGGGCAGGTTGTGACCACATGACCTCTGTGAGCACCGCTCTTGAGGTTCTGAGGGAATCCTCCGGTGACCCCTGCCCTGCACCCCCAAGACAGGTTTGGTGGTGGGAGGGTCTGGGGCAACTCAGGTGGCTCTGGGTCACACTGCTGGCCCGGAATCTTCGCTGCGTGGACTGCAGTGTAGACCATGGACAAGTCACTTTGCCTCTCTGAGCTACGAATGGCGTGGCTGTAGGATGGGGTAATGGAGGTCCTTGCCTTGTGGCTTGTTGTCGGGCTTTGGTCAGACAGAGTGTGGTTCCCCCTTAGTGGACCCCTTGGCTGTATTTATGTGACCATCACCCACAACTCAGGCCATGCCCCAGACTTACGCCGAACTCTGTCCCTCTGTTCTGTCAGGGAGGGCCACGCATCGTGCTGGTCCTGCCTGGCCCTCCGTCTGCTCTCCACCTGCCACTAGAGGGGCCCAAGGTCTTCAGTCAGGTCCGCCCCCTGCTCATGCCCTCTGCTGGCTTCTCATCTGGCTCGGTAAAAGCCGGAGTCCTTTCCTTTGGCCATGCAGGCCCTCTCCGTGAGGCCGTGCCTCGCTGACCTCACCTACCTCCGTCTCCCACCCCTCTCAGCCGCCCTGGTCTCTCCACTGTCCCTCAGGCACCCACGTGTGCTCCTGCTTTGGGCCTTTGCCCTTGCTTCCCTTCTGCCTGGGACCCTCATCCAGACTCCTCCTGGCCTCCTCCCTGCAGCCTCAGGTCTCTCCTGTGTTCTCGCAGCAGAAAGACTTCTCTGACCAGCCTCTCTAGAACAGCCCTCTTGAGTGTTGTGATGTAAGTCTGTCAGCTACAGGGAGGCTGAGGCAGGAGGATTGCTTGAACCTAGGAGTTCAAGGGCAGCTTGGGCAACAGAGTGAGACCCCATCTCAAAAGGAAAAAAAAGCACCCTCTTCTTGGCAAAACAAAGTCAGGAGGAAGGAGAGAAGCTGTTTTTCCCCAAGCCGCCCTCTTTGGGGGAGGAGCTGGCCTCCATAGTCACCAAGTTCAAACTCCTGTGGGACCTTCACTCTCCCTGCCTTGTGTCCCCTGCAGGAGAGAAGCCCTACAAATGCTCAGTGTGTGAGTCTGCATTCAACCGTAAGGACAAACTGAAGAGACACATGCTGATCCACGAGCCCTTCAAGAAGTACAAATGCCCCTTCTTGTGAGTGGGAGCTGTGCAGGCGGGCTGCAAGCTGGGTGGGGGTGGGGAACAGAATGATGGGTTCACGCCCCCCTCCTGCTTCTGGAGCCAGCCCCCAGGGGACAAGGGTGTCCCGTGGCCCAGGGCTAGTGGAGGGACCAGCAAGGGAGCTCCCCGTGACTGGTGGCTCTGGGTTCCAGGACACACACAGGCTGCAGTAAGGAGTTTAACCGGCCGGACAAGCTGAAGGCTCACATCCTGTCCCACTCTGGTAAGGGGCCTGGGGCCCTGGGGGTGTCTGGCTCAGCTCAGAGCCCTGGGAGAGACACGCCAGGAGGAGGAGGAGCAGACATATTCCCCAAAGCTTACTGTCCCTGTACAGTCCCGCCAGTTGGCTTGCACTGCTGTGGACCGGCAGCCCGTGTTCAGGACCGTAGGCTGTACGCAAAGGAACCACATTGCCCAGCCCAAGCTCCACCTCCAAGGAGCGGCAGAATCAGAGTGGCGCCCAGTGGTGTAGGGGTTGAATCAGGCCCGAGCCAGGATGTGGCTGCGAGGTTCCCCGTGGACTGAGTGTTGTTTCAGCCTGGGCTCCCCTGACTTGTGGGCCGGATAGTTCTGGTGTGTGGGTGTGGATGTGTAGCGGCCTCCCAGCTGGTCTACCCACTAGACGTCAGTGGCACCCCTCCCACAGTGACGGCCACATGTCTCCAGGTGTCACCCAAAGTCCCCTGGGGAGTAAAGTCACCCCTGCTGGAGAAGCAGTGGTTTGCAGAAGGATTCAGTGGTGAAAGAAAGTTTGAAAACCAGCAGAGTAGATGAGGGATGTGAGGCAGAGCCTGGGTTTGAGCCTTGATGCTGACCTGTCCGCTGCGTGGCCTCAGGCCCATTGCTGCCTGTCTCTGAGGGCTCAAAGGCATCTGTGAAAGGGGCCTGGCCCAGGGAGAGTATAGGCTGGAGCTGACTGCAGGGGGACGCCAGGCACCAGTGGGTCACCGAGCGTGTAATCCTCAAGTCCCAACCACATCTCAGGCCATGGCCCTACCGGGGGGTGCTTCACATAAGCAGAAGCCTGTGCACCCTTGTGTAGAAGCTGAGCATTTAGAGGGGAACACCAAAAATAAACAGCCAACAAGGACTCAAGGACAGTAAGCGCAGGGGTGGGGAGAAGCGGAAGTGGCTGAGAAGGAAGAGTGTGGGGCCCGGGGGCCGGAGGAGCTGAGTGCTATGGGGTAAGCCAGCAAGCCGCTTTGCAGGGAGGGGGAGCATGTGCAGGGAGACACGGTGTCTGGGACCAGGAAAGATGGTGAGCACAGGGGACTGGGGGAGGGCAGGGCTGAGGGGTGCGGGGGTGTCAGTCAGATTGCACCCCCTCTGTGGGAAACTTGGGTAGTCAGAGGGGCGTTTGGAGCGGTGAACGTTACACTCATTAGTGTTTGGCAGAGACATCCCCAGCTCCCTGTAGGGCGTGGTCTGAGGCCAGCAGAGGCAGGTGGACCAGAGATGATGGGGGTCTGCAGAGTGTGTCAGGGCTCGGGTTGAGCAGGCTGCCGCAGGCAGAGGAAGCAGCACGTGCAGTGGCCCAGAGGCAGGAGTGGGCTCGGTGCGTTGGGGAAGGGTGTGTGGCTGAGAGAAGGGAGGAGGTGAGCAGAGGAGCGGGCCAGATGACAGAAGTGCTGGTAGGGAGGACTGAGCTCTGCGCCTGGAGAGGCCCCTTGCGGGGTGGGGTTTCAGGGCGAGGGCCGGTGCTCCTCCTGACGCCCCCTTGTCCCCAGGCCTGAAGCTCCACAAGTGCGCGCTGTGCAGCAAGTCCTTCAGCCGCCGCGCCCACCTGGCCGAGCACCAGCGCGCCCACACGGGCAACTACAAGTTCCGCTGTGCGGGCTGTGCCAAGGGCTTTTCCCGCCACAAATACCTCAAGGACCACCGCTGCCGCCTTGGCCCCCAGAAGGACAAGGACCTGCAGACCCGGCGGCCCCCCCGGAGGAGGGCAGCTCCCCGCAGCGGAGGCAGCAGTGCTGGGCACAAGGCGGTGACCTCCTTGCCCGACCCCCTGGGGCTGGAGGAGTTGAAGGACGCAGGGGCTGGGCCTGTGCCCGAGGTCACCCCAGGCAAACCGCCCTTCGCAGAGCCCGATGCCGTGCTGTCCATTGTTGTGGGTGGCACAGTGGGCGGTGACCCTGAGCTGGTGGTGCCTGGGCATGCCGAGGCGCTGGGCTCCAACCTGGCCCTGGCTGAGCTGCAGGCCGGGGCTGAGGGACCGTGTGCCATGCTGGCGGTGCCAGTCTACATCCAGGCCTCCGAGTGAGGCAGACTCTGCCTGTGGAGTTTGCTTCCTGAGCGCCCGGACCTCGCGCTTGGATCCGGCTCCTGGGGCCGGCCAGGGTCCTTCCCGGTGGCAGGAGCTTCCTGGGATGCCATTGGCTGCCCTTCGGTGGCCCTGTTCTGCGGCATCCTGCGGTGGGACAGGCTGGCAGCTCCTGGACAGCAGTGGCAAGAGAGATGGCCGGAGCCCGGACAGCCCGCTGGTAGTTGGGCTGCCTGAGAGAGAAGACGAGATGGTCTGGCCCAGCCCTCCTCCAGGCAGCCTGGGTGGCCGTCAGGCGAGCTGCTCAGCGGGAGGCTGGATGTGACTGGAGTCCCTGTCTGTTCTCCATTTGGGTCCCTCACGGCTTCCACAGACAACTCTGCAAGGTTGGCCTTTAGGAGGCACTCAAAAGGCGTGGTTAGAGTACAGCTAGGAGCCAGATCTAGCTTCAAATCTCAGTTGCGTGCACTTGCTGTGTGACCCTGGGCAAATCGCCACACTCCTGTGTTCCTTGTCCGTGCAGTGGGGCTTACAGCTGCACTACCTCCAAGGGTTGTCTTGGGGCTCCGGTGTGAAGAAATGTGCAAAGGACTTGGCAAGTGCTCAATAAATGTTTTTATCACTGTGTGTGTCTTAATGGCTCTGACCCCAGCCTTGGCAGTTCTTTTCTTAGCCCCCAGATGGCAGCACTCCCCTCTGAAGCATAAGGCGCTGAGGTGTCGCACAGCCGTGACACCATGGTCCTATAGACTCCTACAGAGGAGCAGGTGCTCCTGGGACGGGGACTACAGGGTCTGTGTGAACGTTCTGGGAAGGAGGTTTGTACTCATATGTGAAAATTCAGAATCCTAGGGAAGCCCAGGCCTTTGGATTCAAAACCTCTGATAGGAGCCAGAAGCACACCTGAGTGGGCTTCTGTGTGCCTCGACCTCTCACCCGCTTCCGCCAGCCAGGGCCGGGAGGGGCAGAGAGGCTGGGCGGGAGGCAGGCAGGGAGAGGGCCCCTTCAGGCCATGCTGCTTCTGTTATAGGACAGGAAACCAGTGCTCAGAGAAGGGCCAGGGCAGGGAGCAGCAAGCTGCTTGACTCATCATGACTGAGACTCCTTGAGGGCTGGCCTGTCCCTCACACACTATGCTGGGACCCACTGCCCGCACCCTCAGGAAGGGAGGAACAAGGCTGGGGAGAGTGAGAGTTGTGAGTGTCCTATCCTGCAGAAAAGCCCAAGGAGGGACTGGGGTGGGGGGCAGCAGGGCTCCTCAGAAGGCACAGTGTTTGAGCTGGGCCTTGGCACATGCTGCTTTGACAGATGGGTACGTAGGGGAGGCAGCCAAGAGAGCAGGGTGTGAGCCAGGACCACAAGGTTCTGTTGTAACTTCAACATTACCTTGGAGGCCTGGCCAGAGCAATAAGACAAGAAAAAGAAATGCAGTAATACCCTGGTTCACAAACACTTGTTTGCAAACAATTTGTTTCACAAAAGCATTCAGCAAAATTTTGGCTCTGTTTGCACATGCCTCATCAGGTGACAAACACAACCAAGACTGTCTTTGCCACACAAACAGAGATGCAGCCGTCTTCCCCAATTCATAAAACAAATTAAGTTTGTGAACCAGGGTACCACTGTCAATGATATAATGATCATAAGGTGTGAGATAAATAATAGCAAAGAAGCTGAAACTAGCAAGATCAATTTATGTCAATTTATAGTGTTCCTGTACTGCAAAAACAATTAGAAAATTTACTGTAGAATGGGGTCATTTCATCCCAAAACCTGGGCATTTAACTTGTATTGGAGCCTGTCTCATCTGCAGAGCAGGATGCTGGTGGAGCCAAGCTCATTGCCTCTCCGGCAGCACACATGTTGCCCGTGCTGCGGTCCTCCCTCTCCCCTGCTGCTGCAGCTGGACGTTGCTTGGTAATTTCTGTGCTGCAGAAAAGCGCTGAAGTTCCCTGTCTGGACTCTGCGTTAATGGCTTGAGGGGCCCTGTGTACCTGCTTCCCCTTCCCTCCAACTCCCTTGGTACTACACTAGCTGCCCTGAGGTGCTTTAGAGCAGATGTGCCGGCTCAGGCCATGGCTAACCTGACCAAGTGGCCATTGGCACTGGGTCCCGTGCTCTGGGCCTTACTTACATGTGACTGAATCCTGAAGCCCCCTTTGAGGTCAGCTCTATCACCCCCATGGTACAGATGAGGAAAAGACTTGGCGAGGGGCAGTAACCTTGCTGGAAACCCAGGACTGACAGACTCAGGTTCGTGCCATACTCATTTTTTCAATGCTGGGGCTTGAACCTAGGACCTTTCCATTGAGACAGTGTCTGATACTCAGCTGCCCAGGCTGAGTTTGGACTCATGATCCTCCTGCCTCTGCTCTGAAGAGTACTGGGGTTCCAGGCGTGCTCCACACACCGTGTTTTTTTCTTTTGTCTATGGCTCTCACAGGCTTTCATGGGCAGGGGTTTCATTGGGAAACATTTCTCTGTCCTCAGCTCCTGCCATTCCCTCCTCGGCCACCACGTGCTGGTCCAAACCGCCAGCCTGTGTCGAGTGGACTTTCTGGTCTCCTCACTTCCTCTTTCTCTGTCATGATCTGGTCTCTTGATAATGCCCAAGGGAATTGTCTATATCCAAAGAGCCTGAATCTAGGTGTAGAGTCAGATTTTACCCCTCACCTGTTTAAATCCTCCTGTAGCTTCTGATCTCTTTTGTAAGGAAATCCAGCATTTTCCCTGTAGATTTCAAGATTCTGCACCATGTGGCCTCTCCTACTCTTCAGCCGCATTTCCATTGCTTTCCTTCTTTCCCTCCGCACTAGCCACACCGGCCTTCCTGCTCCTCCTCCATCACCTTAGCCAATTCTTGCCTCAGGGCCTTGCCTCTTGCTGTCCCCTCTCTGGAGAAGGCTCTTCCCTCAGATTTCCACAGGGCAGGCTCTTTCCTTTACTCAGTTGTACAAAGCCATTTCTTCATAGTGGCATTTCTTGGTCAACCTGCCTAAAATAGTCCTCAACTCATCATTCCCCACATTCTTGCCGTTTTGTTTGAATTTATCATCCTTGAGATCCCACCAGGCATCCCTTTATTTCTGTTATCCTCGTCACAGCAAAGGGTCTGTGAGGGCAGAGACATGGATATGTGCAAGTGCACAGAACTGCCCAGGAAGGGGCTGGGGATTTAGCTCAGCGGCACAGCACCTGCTTGGCAAGTCGTGAGTTCAATTCCCGGTACCGGAAAAAAAACCCCAAAAAAACAAAACCAGAACTGCCCAGGAATCAAGGAGGAGGGCAGTGACCAGTGTTTGGCAGGCAAATGAACAGCACTTGGAGAACCAGGTACCATTACCCATCTTTTCCTCCCACCCCAGGGAGACCCAGGTGTGTTTTCCCCCTAGGAAGAATCTGCCTTAGAGGTGAGACACAGCAGCCCCGAGTCCTGAAAAGTGATGTCTGTAAAGGACATGTCTTCCTTTGTCTGAAGGTGGAGCACAAGCTACCTGGGTCAAAGGACTGAGGCAGTGGCTTGGAAGTCTCGAATGACAGGGCAGGTATCCCTGTAGCCCAGCAAAACATGTTGGACCAGTTTTGCCTCCCTGGGAAAGAAAGAGTGGAGGCGGCAGCTGTGGGCGCTCCCAACCCCACAGTGCCAGAAGTGACCCGCTGCTCCGGGCCTGAAGGGCCCCGGTCAGGGAGGTCAGCAGAGTACAGCTTGGGGTGCTCGATGTACACTTAGACGTTGAATCTGGAGACAGAGACAGGCAGCCAAGGCTACCTGCAGGGCCTTGGCTTCTTTGTAGAATCACAGAAGGAACTGGAGCCTGGGGAGGGAAAGGATCTCATTCCAAGGTCTCACTGAAGCAAGACTGACTCAGTCCTTTCATTAATTCACTTAACAACTATGGGGCCTGGGGATTTAGTTCAGCTGCACAGTGCCTGCCTGGCAAGCTCAAGGTTGTGAGTTCGATTCCCAGTACTGGAAAAAAACAAAAAAAAAACACCCCCCAAAAAACCAAAAAAAAAACCTATACATTGAGCCCCTACTATGTGCTGGGCATAGTTCTAGGCATTGAAGATACCTGGTAAACAAAACAGTGATCTGTGGCAATCCCTTGTGGAGGGGTAAATAAGAAAGTTATATAATATGCTGGGGCGGGGGGAGTCCTGTAGAAGAGGAACCGCTAAGGAGAGGGGAGAAGGGGGAGGAGTTTGGCAAGTGAGGGGTGGGGCAGTGTTGAAGGACAGCAGTGCGCCTGTGTGGCTGAGGGAGGTGTAGGGAAGGAAGAGGGCAGGGTGGCCTGGGAGGACCCTGACGCATAGGTGAGGGGCCCCGAAAGGATTTAGGGTTTTACTCTGCAGGCCTCGGAGAGCCGTGGGCTGTGAGCAGCACAGTGACTGGGTCTGACTATCTTTAAAAGAGACCCCACTGGTTGCCCTGTAGAGAACGGAAGGGTGCGAGAGTGGCTTGGAAGGCCAATGGCAAAGTATGCCAGGTGGCTCTTGCTGCGGTACCAAATGACCAGATGCGGTGACTTAAAACAACCCAGGCACTGTCTGACGGTTCTGGAGGTCAGAAGCCTGACAGGCTTGCCCTAGAATGGAGAGGTTGGCCGGGCCAGGCCCTTCTGGAAGCTCTGGGGCAGCGAGGCTGCTGCACTGCTTTTCTTTTTTTCTTTTTCTTTTTTTTTCTTTTTGAGACAGGGTCTTGCTATGCAGTTCAGGCTGAACTTGAGCTCACTTTGTAGCCCAGGATGGCCTCAAACTTGCAACGATCCTCCTACCTCAGCCTCCTGAGTGCTGGGATTAAGGCGTGCGCCACCACGCCCGGCTCTGCACTGCTTTTCTAGATTCTAGAAACTGACTGCATGCCTTGGCTCATGGCCTTTTTCTCCCTGTTCAAAGCCAGAAGGGCGCTTGCAGTCTCTCTCTGATTCTGCCCCGCCACTGCCTTCTTGCGATTACACTGCATCTGGCTGGGTGAGCAGGGATGCTGCAGTCTCTAGGTCCTGCGGATCCACTCAGAAGCACACTGTGGGGAGAGGATATGGGTGTCTTTGCGGGGGCCACTATTCTGCCCACCTCAGGAGACCACGGCAACGTTCCAGGCAAGGATGATGGTGACCTGGACCAGTGACAGCAGTGAAGATGGTGACAAAGGGTGGAGTTCCGGTTAAATGCTCAGGGTTTGAACAACAGGGTATTCTAAGGGGGTGGGCGTGGACCTTCCCTTCCTCGGAGAGGGAAGGGTCTGGGGAGGAAGATCCAGGAAGTCACAAAGCATTTCCCCGCAGCCTGTGTGGCCCTCAGCAGAGCCTGCGGCTGGGTCTGTACGCGGGCAGGTGAGTGGGCACAGAGCAGGCCTGTGTCCCGCATTAGCTCAAGTGCAGGAACCCTTGAGCCCACAATCTCCTCCACCCCTGCTCATTCCGCTCAGGGTCATTGGGGTCAGGTCTGCCCTGCTCCCATTGCTGGCTTTGTCCTATTCCCCGGGAGATCACACCTGCCTCTAGGTCCCCTGCACTTCCTTTATGTCTGAACATGTGTTTCTCTCTCTGCACTCACATTTGAATGTGGGCAGGACAGCATAGTGGGTAAGCTGGTTGTCTGTACAGGAAGAACCTAAGCACCGCC